AGCTTTACTGCCTCTTCATGGAGCCCTGCTGCAGAAGGGTGGGTGGAAGGGTCTCCCACTTCAGGTGGGTGAGGCTTTACTCCTGGTTTGGAGTGTGATGATTCCACTTCCAAATTCTGAACCAGAATCTGTCTCCCATGTATATCTTGCACTGCCTAGCTGGGATATCTGTGGATAACGTTCTTTATTATTCGTATAAATTAATAATCTTTTCATGAATCTTACCAAGCTTTGTGCCTTGGTTTTATCTTGTAGTTTTATCTGATATTATCTTCCCACAGCCGTTCCTACTCTCTGTTCCCCCATATTAGCAGTGACCTCAGCAGAAAAATACTTTTGGAGCATGTGGTTCAGCTCGTTTTTTTGCTTCATTTGTATTTGCTAATTTGAGATATTCTGCAGTGCTTAGACAATAATGCAACCGTATCATGGCATTTTCAACAACAACATTGACCTCCGCAATCTGCCTATTCACAACACTTGAATGCATCAGTATTGCCGTCTGTATGATTTTAATTTAATTAGAACAGTGGCTGTAATCATTTCGGGAGAAGCATGAGCTTCCCCACTGTCTCCTTTCCCCTTGCCTTTTGTGATGAACTGTTGCACTTCTGTGTGTGGTTTTTTTTTTTTGTTTGTTTGCTTGAGCAAAGGATTGAGATGTGAGCGGGTAGCCATCTCCTGCCCTTGTGCCGGGAGGTTCGTCAGAGGCAGGCTGAAGCGAGGAGGCAGGGAGGAACTGAACTTCACAAAATCACTAAGGTCACCGAGACAATCTCTGCTCTCTGTGCGCAGGAAATGAGATGTTAATCTTTTCCCAGTGCTGCTTTGCATAAGGTCCATTCCAGAGAGCTGTGTTTGTTTTAATTTCTCTAATTACTGATAGTGTGCTGATTATGCTGCTATAGATTTGACGTGAATTGCTATATTAATGGGATCAAAAATGAGGAGAAGTCTGCCATGGAAATTAAGAAGATGACAGCAACTGGGGGAAGGGAAGGAAGTGGAGAGTTTAATTCATACCCTGGTACTGCAGAGCTTTACTGTGCTTTTTCTGGAGCCTGATCCTTTGTCCCTGGCAGAAGTTGGGAGTATGCAAGCTATAACATTGACCAAAATTCCAGAATGTTTTAATTGTGTACCCGGTGCCATGCAGTCACTTAGGGGCTCTGATTTCCCCCCCTCCTCCCTATGTTAGACCCCGTAACTCACCTCATAGCAGTCAGTCTCTTGGACTTTTGTATCCGACTATATGGTGTTGCCTGCAAAACACCATATGTCTTCCCCACCTTTCCTCTTCCCCTTACTTGTTTCCCTAATGATTAACTTCCTTGAATCTCCTGCTGTCATTCCTGTGCTGCTCTGCAGCTGGCTTGCTGGTGTTATCCTGCTGAGTGCCCAGATGTGCAGGGCCTTCTGAATCTTTCCTGCAAAGCACCTCATTCCCCCACAACAACCCATTTCTCTAAGGCCATTAATTTTCCCCTCTTCCATACCCAAGGCACCTACTCCTAGGAGGATCCACAGATCCTTCCAGGTTCCCCCCAGCTCCTTGTTCTTTGGCTTGTCTTTCCACTTTTCCCTGCCTCTGTCTGCTTGTTGAAGGAGATTGCAGCCCTGGTCCCATGTCCTTGCAGAGTTGAACATCCTCCATGATTTGGGTGTTGTGTCCAGAACACCAGCTTACTTTGACAGTCCCGAGAGCTACAACCATGTGTTTCAAACCTGGATTTACACAAGCCAAAGGTGTGTTACTCAGGGGTTTTTAAGCCTAGGGCTTCCCCAGAAATCAAAGAGGGCACCAGAATTTATGCACACCTGCTAGTGCTGCCCTCTCAGAGCAGGAAGGTGGGATGATACCCAGGGAGCTCGAAGATTCCCTTAAAGCAGTGTCCTGCTACCACTTGTCCTGCGAGTAAAGGAGGACAGCCTGTGAGGACGTGACAGGTAACTTTCTCCTCTTTTACTTCTAACTGTGGGCTTCTTGATAGTGCAACACAAATCCCTGTACCTCCACCTTGCGGTAACGCCTGCTTCTCTGGGGAGCAGGGGGAGTCAGGGCTGTTTGGAGAAGGGAAGATAAACAGCAAATACAAGACAGGCACGGAGTGCCACACCTACACCAGCAGCCTGGGGGACAAATCTGTGTCAGCTTTCACTCTTAGTTAATTTTGCCCTGTGTAGTATCATTACATGCAGTACGGGAGTAAGTTTTTACACGGTGCTAAGAGTCAGCTGCCTTTTCTGTCCAGCGCAGGGTATTTGCAGGCTGCGTTGGCTGTTCCTGAAAACTGCTGCATAGGTACTGCATTTTTTTTTGCTTTATCAAATGAAAAAAGTCATTTGAGTATACCGCTTATCCAACTGCCAAAGTAGTCATGTCACTGGGACAACGTTAGGGCTTGCTTAGCATGCTTTCTTACATATTCTATTTTCATTTCTGCAAAAGCATGTATGTCCTTTGTGCCTGCCATCTGAGTGAAGTGAGTAAAGGGACAAAAAGACTATCAGGCTGCAAGCTGGAGAACAGTCACGATGAAGGCTGCTGCCTTGGAGTTTAGAAGGGCGTGATTTTAGCAAAAGCATGAAGCTATTTTTACTTGCAGCTTCACTCATCCTCAACTGTTAGACTTTTTTTTTTTTTTTGAAAGGTGACTACAAATTAAATTTTGCGTTTTTGAAGTTTTAAAAATTGCTAGTATTTTAGAAATATTGTGTTCCTGACAGAATTCTCTGATTGTTCAGGTAGACTTTACCTGTAAAGAATCTACCTCAGTTCTTCTGACTGAAATTAGTGTGTGCTTTGGCTTTGGGAGTCCAGTCAGCTGTTATGTACACTACTAGATAGACATGATCAATACAGCTTTTGAGTTACCTTCCTTTTTTAGACGGGATGGTTTGAGCTAAGGCTTTCTCAGCACCTGGATATTTAGTATTTTGTACTTTTCTAGTACAAAGAGAACAAAACCATAGCTTGTCTTGATTCTTAACCACGTGTTTCAGTCTGTCTCTCTCGGCTAGATCAGGTTGGTGGAAGCGTGACCCAACTCTCCACAGAGCTGATTGTCTTGGTGGCACTGTTGAAGCACCAGCCACTAGAATAACCCCCAGGGAGGGTCTTCATGTAGGCTGACTTAATGCATCTCTTCAACTATTGTAGTCAAGGTGAAATTTTCATGGTGAAACTCTCCTGACTCACTGTGAGCTGAAGAAGCCTTTCAAAACCGATGACAGCAAGCAATATGCCAGCTGTTTTCTCCACCTCATTGTGGCTACTGGCAAAGTGCTAGGGAGCTGCTATTTTGAAGTTGCTTGTAGATGGCAGTTGTTTGGGGCTGTGTTTGGTCACTTGTGAGTTTATATGTTTATAGAGTCACCTGGCAGGCGGGGAATCTGGAATGTGGTAATGCCAAACACTTTCCTAGCACTCATCACCAATGATCTTGAAGGACCACACCAAAAGTGTACTGATTTAGACACTTTTACCAGTCAACTAAGCTGCAGCAAGGCTGTTTGCTCAATTACACTCAAGCTTTGTGCTGACTCTGCTACCAGCACTACCTATCCTTCCAAGCTGTTGCTTGACCAAGCCTACCATTGAACCATCAATTCTTGGTCTTAATGCAAAGGGAAATATTAAACTGACTGGTTAGGAAACTCTTTCAGAAAAATTCCTAGTGGTGGAGTATCTAGTTGCATGGCCTTAGAAGCATGAGATACCAAACCTTAGAAGCATGAGATGCCAGCCATGTTTTTGTTTGATGGCTCCCACAGAGAGAAGCACCAGGCAGTTCTGGAGTTGTGAAGATTAAAGCAAATCTATTCTCAGTTGTCTGAGCACAACAGGTACCTCCTGGAAGTGTGACTCTAAAAAGCCTCAAAAAGCCTGGAGGAGCAAATGTGACCTCGTGGGTGCATGCCTCTGTGTAGGCCAGGGGTTTGCGTGTGGCTGAAGCACAGAGCTATGGCAGGTTGCAGAACTGGACTGATGTTTGCCGTTCTGCTTCCAGCCATGTTACTGACTCATGCTGCAGACAGGGATGAAGCTCATTTTTTCCACAAGCCCAGTGCCTTAACCTCCGTGTATTACCGTTCCACACCTTTTGGAAGTCTGGCCAGGACAGTTAGAAGGGCTACTCTTTCAGGATGCACTTGTTAAATGCCCTTGAGAGGCACATGCTGTTCTTTTTCAAGACGTCTTAACTCTGAAATTACTTCGCTCATTTGAGCTTTGCTCCTTCTGTAACTCAGGTTGTCCATGTGTCTAATAAAAAGAAAAAGACTTACCTAATGTCTGTAAATTGATATTTGGGTTAGAGGTGCAGGGAAAAAAATGCAGGATTAGTAAGAGGGCATTTCAAAGGCACTATAAGAGCCTGATAGCCGACTCCCCTTTGTGCCTTGTAAAATGTGTTCTGCAAATATTACCAATTCACACATTACTGTAGACATCCAAGGTGTGAGGGAAGAGTAACTGTGCATTTCCACAACTTCCTTTTTTGTTACTGTCCTGTTCTTACGAATGCTAGGAAGCACTGAATCAAATTTATTTATTTATAACAGTAAATCTCAATGAAGCTGTCTTGCCAGAAATCAGGTTACCGTATGCCTTTAGGAGGTTGATCACTGCAGAGAGAAAGGCAGCAGGTATTGGACTTGTAACGTCTTAGTTTGATACAGCACCTCCTGGGTGTTGAGGGAAGTGCATGGGGTTCTGGATTTAATTTCATTTTCTGCTTGCACTTTCCTCCTGCTGTTGGCCAGTGAGGAGGCCTTTCGAAGTCACTTAGGCCCTTGTCTTTGCAGCAGTGATTCAGTATTTCTGTGAGCGTGAAATGTAACCTGAGGTTGGACTGGACCCCGTGTTCTCCAGGAGGGAGGAAAAGGAGTTCAGGTCTCCCATCTATCCTCTCCAGTGCCTGTTCGCAGAGGCAAGCATCTGTGTGGCTGTGTTTCAGAAGCGTTCCTCTTTTTATAAATATCTCCATACAATAAACAAAATGAGCAGCTGCAGTGTGCTTCGATTATCTGAGCCGTGGATCACAGCAGGAAATGCTGGGAAGCGGCTGGTCTCGCCCCGAATCGCTGGTGGTGATGCACCAGTGGTGAGAAGGTGCAACTGGGCAGCCAAAATGGGCACAGAGAGCTGCGTCCTGCGGGAACGTGAAGCGTAGAGTCAGCCGTTTCGGGTCAGGGAAGGAGTTGCATAAGTTGAAAGCAGAATAATGTTTTGTAGCTCCACAGGTGCGTCTTTCACCACGTCTCAGTGAACATCCCTGTTTGTTAACTAAGAAAAACTAAATTCGTATGAGCTAATGGATTGCTGTTGCTTGGATGATGATGAGTCAAAAGAAGCTGAGTGGACACAGTAAGATGTTAAAGGGCTTTGTGGGAGACTGGAACATAAGATTGAACAATTTCTGGTTCAGAACTACTGAGCTGAAAGCCACACAGAAATAACTTAGTGATGGTGGAGTGAACCGGGCCTGTCTTCCCCCTCCATCTACACCAGAATAGTTAGAATAGTTTATTTTCCATGTGCCGTCCGTCTTCTCTACCACGACTGTCAGCAGTGGTGGCTGTAGTATAGTGGTGGGACTGCAGACATTGAGGTGAAACTTCTGGTTCCTCATGAGCTCCTGAGCAGCAAGCTGCTAAGCAGCACCTTATGCCAGGATGAACCGGGCTTGCTTTCTTTGACGTGGCGACTGAGAGATGCAAGACTTCCTAGGTGCTCCATGTCCCTTTTTTTTTTTTTTTTTTTTTTTTTTTTTTTTTTTTTTTGGACATGTCACCTCATCTACCTGCTTTGGTACACTCAGTTGTTATTTACTGATGTGCAAACCTCTCCTTCCCTTTGGTGGTGAGGGTGCGAGTGTTATGTTCTGCAGGTGCCTCTGTCAGCCTCAGTCTAGTTCCCTGTCACATGGCTGTGATAATGTTGTGTTTCATAATGGAAATAATTAACCTTCTCTTGCTCCAGCACCAGATTTGTCTTTTCCATCTGCCAGAGATCAGGGTCAGGGTGGGGAGCTACACACGTACTCTCCTGCAAATGCTCAGAAATGAAGGTAGCTCCTTTTGCTTCTGCATGTATGTGGATGTAAATCCACGCTGTTTGCACTGCCATCACTAAATGTCAGCAGCACATTTTGGGGGAATAACGCTCATTGCCTTCCAGGAAGAATATGATAATGATTTTTTTTAATGCTCCTGTAAAATTGTGGCTATGTTTATTTACAAAGGGTATAATTTGTGCTGTGATTGGAGTACAGGCTTAGAATATGGAAGAATTTTCCCATCAGATCAGATGAAATTTCAGCCTTAAAGTTCTTGGCAGACGTTTTCAGAAATAAAAACCTAACAGTGACAATTATGAGACTAATGCAGCAAATTGCCCTTTAACTCTATTTGACTGTCCTTGCGTAGCTGCTCACTGTATGCTGAGTTACTTGGCTGCAAGTTAAACTACTTCAAAGAAAGTGCTAGTAACTAGTTTAGGCAAGAAAAAGAAAGTATGACATTGCTCAATGGTAAATAGAGTTTTTAGTGATCGAGTGTGGTTTTCTGCAGCAAAGACAAAACGAATTGCTTAACGTCTTTAAAATGCTGTGAAGGAGTAGAGTGTTAAATACTTAATAAACTTGCTTAGATCATGACTGATTTGTGAGCACAAGATGAAGTGGTTTGAGTACTTTCTGTAACTGTACTCATGCACGTATTGTGGAATTGCTGTCAGATTTTCACTGACATAAAACCCTCAGAATCTCCCCGCTTCTGTGTCACTTCCCTTTCCTCCCTCGACTAATTTCTGAGAAGATCTTTGGAAACTTCACGGACCTTTTGAAAATTATACCTGTCACCCTAAAAGCTGTTTGGCCCCTGGCTGAAGCGCCAGGCAGCACGTTGCCCGCGCAGCGAAGTGCGCTGTGCCCCACGGCTCGCTGGGCAGCCGGGAGCATCGCCAGTGCTGCTCGCCCCCTCCATGCACCCACGCTTCCTTCCTTCCACCCACTTCCCCTTCCCCTGCCTGGGTTTCACACCTCTGTTCCAAAGTTCACGTTGTCCTCTCTCTTTCTCTCTCTCCCCCCCCCCTTTCTTTTTAACAGCAGGAAAGAATTTCGTACACACCTCCAGTGAGCCCGGTACCAAATTACACTTCCTCGTCACCACTACATGTCCCAGTGCCTCGAGCGATCAGGATGGAGGAAGACACCATCAGACTGCCAGCACACCTGCGTGAGTGTCAGCGTGGAGGCTTCTTACTTTCTTGGATTGAGGAGGGTGTGGGGCGGGCTGTGGAGCTGTTTCTATTTTTATGGGAGAAAGCAGGGAAGCCCCCTGGCTTCAGACTCCTTTTTTTTTTTTTTTTTTTTTTTAAAGCTCTAGCTCTAGCTGGTTTTATTTTGCTAAATATTCTTCATAACCATAGGAAACTACTCTTAAATACAGTATATTATATCCCTCTCCCCCATCCCCTGTAGCCCATGTCAAGTATTTGGCTTATTTCTCATGACAGGCACAGATGCAGATGTTTTATTTTGATGGGAAATGCTGTATTTCCTTCCACAGTATAGAAGTTGCTCAGCGATGTGCTGTGACACAAGGTCAGAGTTTCACAAACTGTGGTTGGTGGAGTGCTATGGGTATTATTCAGGTTGTTATGGGTCTCAATATTAAATACTCCTGGTGCCCAGGTTCTCTACTACAGAGCATGTGTGCTGACAGAGGCAGTGGGAAAGGAGGAAGAATGAGCTTAGCTGTGCACAAAAGGATGCTGCAAAGGAGGAAGGGCATATCACTGACATTGGAACAAAACTGGAGCTGGGGGCAAGGCGAGAGCTAGTCGCTTCCTTGCTGAGATGATTTAATGTCTGAGGAATAGGAAAGGCCAAGGGCTGTTGGCCAGTGAGAGGTGAATTAGTGAGATAGGATGGGGTCAAGGAAGAGTGGAATTTTCCTTTTTGGAGGGGAAGTGGTTCTGATGTAAATCAAGAGGTTTTGAGTAAATTTCTGTCAAGTGTTACATTCCTGGGGAACTTGAGCTACAAGGAGCAACAGGGCCAGAAGCAACTGTCACTTTGTGCGTTGCCATCTCACAAACGGGCTTGGGATTTCGGAGAGGGGAGAAAGTCCGTGTTTATCACAAGACATTCTCATTCCTGTCCTCAGCTGTTTTCCAGGCACACTCCTTTTCTGGAGGCAAACTGTGCTCCCAGCGTTTCTGTAATCCCGTGCTCGCTCCCTTGCCGGCCACCGAGTTGCTCTGTGCCACGGTCACTCTTGCCCATGCTATGTTCTGCGTGGTCCTGTTTTTGCTTGCTGCTGCCTCTTACTGTCTTCTGCCTGTGCTACAGCGTAGCCCAGGTTGTACCTTTTCCGTGCTTTCTCATGGGAATGGGAGCTGGTGCTGTGGCATTTCTGATCGTGTCTGGTGACTGCCCGAGTGTCTGCGAGCTCCCAGACCCTGCTTGCCCATGCATGTGGCTGTTGGCCCGTTTCCCCAGCCCGGGGAGCACTTGCTGTCATGCTTACAGGGCATTTCTAATCTTTGCCCAAAACTTAAGACACAAAAAAGCCAACACAGAAGCAGTTCTTCTCCAGCAGTCCTTTTTCCCACTGGTACTTATAAAGGCTGGAGATTTTTTTTCTTTTTTTTTTAACTCTCCAACTTTCCAGTTACCCCTGAGTCTGACATGCACAAGGCAGGAAGACAGAGACCCTTCATACTGGAAGGGGTGAGGCACTGTGTTTACTATTTCCCATCGGCTAGTCAGCATGCTAGGTAGTGTGAAGCTTATAAAGCTTCCTCTCAGTGAAGACTTTTTATCTAATATTCCAAGTGTGATCCAACATTTCACCTTGATTTTTGTTGTGGTTTTTCTTTTCTTTTGATTGGCACCTTTTTAAGCTTGCAAGGAGGTTTCTTTCCCATTAGTATTTCCACACCAGTCTGACTTGTAGAGTAAGAACACAATTAATCAATAAATATCTGTGGAAAAGTCTTTCACAGAGTTAATCTCTTGGGTCATAAACAACATGGTGCACGTTTATGTTGTAGTCCCTGGCAGTATAGTATTTTGTAGTTCAGCATTCACTAAGTATTGACCCAAACACTGTTAGAACCAGTTTGAAGAGTACAGTTTCACAGCTACGCCAGAAACGACTGTTCTGAATTCCTAAAACAGTGTCTGATATAACTTGAATTACAGAACTTCACTCAGTATCCTGTGTTTAAGTCCAGTAACTGAGCTACAGCATCTTATGCTGAAAGATTTCAGCTTTTAATGTAAAGACTTCAGTGATGGGGAGGATTTAAGATCTCTAGATGTTCTTCTTAATTACCCTCCTTATTTGCTTTTTTTTAAGTGCCCTATTTATAGTTTGAATTAGTCAAGCTTCAGTTTCCAACTATTAGATCTCATTATCTCCTTTCCTGCTAAATATTGTCAAAAGACTACTCCTGATATAGGTGCTTTTAGATAAAGTCACTTCTTAACCTTTTCTTGGCTAAACGGGATAGGAAGAGAGGTTCTTAAGGCTGTCAATCTTCCTGTAAAGCTTCCAGATTTCAAATTCTGTTTGTCTCATCTCCGTGAACTGTTTCCCACTTCAGACATCCCTCTTAAAGTGAGGACAACAGAACTGAAGATCATATTCCAGGAGTAATCTTCCTAATAACAGGTATAGAAATAACTAAGAACCTTTTGGATCTCGGGTCATGAGGTTTAAGTGGTATTAGCATGGGATTTTGCAGTTTCTGCATGGATTTTTTTTTTTTTTTTTTTAAAGATATGTGTCTGAGACATGACTTTGGTCCTAAATCCAAACTGCCTTACAAGTCAGTAGCTAATTTCTAGTTCAGGCTGTAGTACTGCACGTGAAGATTGGGTTTAAATCTGCAAAGTCTGAGGGTCTTCTAGGTCTGAGATTTTTGTCTCTTTCTAGCCTTATTGTCGTTTTGGTTGATTAGGTGAACCGTAATAACTTCTTTCAACCCTCACTTGTTCCAGTGCAACAGGGAGATATAAGTTTCTTCAGTTATTCACAGAGCTGATAGCTTTCCCCATTCTCTGTTTTCATGACATTCTGGTGGCATTTACCAGAATAAAGGCAGAGTTCAGTCCTAAACTGTACATCTTCATTTCTGCCAACTTGCAAATTCAGGAGCTATATTACAGGTGCAGCTGAAAACAGCAGTTTGCCCAAGCAAAGGTAGAACTAAACAAATGTTTCAGATGGAACATGAAGTGCACTCCGTGGATTCAGACAGTGTTTTATGCCTTCCTATTAGAAATTTCACTGTTTCTAATGTTTAAGAGCACCCTGAAGGCACCAACAGCCAATAGTATCAGAACAATTGGTAGAACAATTTCCTTTGGTGCAATAAATGATTTCTCAGTGTTTGGTGAGCAAAAGGGTCTGATCTGTGCCGAGCTGATTTGATCCAGAGACTGGAAAATGGAGAAGTGTGAAGTTTAGAAGGGTGGAATGCAGATCCCCCTTTGCTACAAGCATGCAGAGGAGAACTCTTTGGTCCAGACAGCTAGAAATATATAGAGGAAACCCCTTTCCTGGGGGTGGTCTGAAAGGTCTTTTCCCTTCTCACATAGTCTTTCTTGTTTGAATTAGCTGCTTTCTTCCCAGCCTGCCCTATTCCTATAGTATAGAAACACAGTGTCATCAGACTTAACTTTAAAGCTCTGGGATGGTGAGAATCATTTTCTCATAATACGCACCCTTCTCTGATGCTGTACTTCTCCTGTTTGCCTAACATCCACTTCTTAACTGAGTATAGGGGCATTGTAAAACAAACTATCAGCAGGCAGCTGGAGGATATGCTTTCCTCTATTTTAGGTGTGCAGTCAGAAAGTACAGTGATCTCCAGTTCACTCCTTGTCCCTGGTGTGTATGTGGTGGTAGTTTTGCAGCATACCTGATCTCCACTAGACTACACTAATGTCAGATGAAAGGAGTGTTTGGAAAATGATAGCATGGTTTGGGTTGGAAGGGACCTTAAAGATCATCTAGTTCCAACCCCCCTGCCATGGGCAGGGACACCTTCCACTAGCCCAGGTCAAAAAACCTCATGCAACGTGGCCTTGAACACTTCCAGGGGAGTTGTTTACCGAGGATTCAAGAGAATCAAGTTCAGCTCTCACACAAGGCTCTGCCCTTGGTGCCTTCTGTGACCTTGGACGTCTTGTTTTAGTTTCCCCACTGTAAAATGAAAGAAAACACGAGTGCAAAGACTCATGTCAAGAGGTTTGAAAATTAGTACAGTGACTGCCCAGATACTGTGATAAGGAAGAATGCTGAGGTGGATGGAAGTCCTCTGAAACTCTCTGTGTACCCTTTATCTCTGAGGAAACTTCCTCCATATTGCCACAGAGAGAAAGTTAGTTTTGTTTTTTGGTTTTTTTTTTTTAATTTTTATTAAAACCAATCTTCCTGTCTTGTCTGGTACAATGTCATTAGTTACTTGTTTTGTGCTGTGGCCAATACCTTGTGGTAAAAAGTTCTTGGAACTGTAGAGGATACAGCATTGAAGAGATGGCTATGAGAACCCTTCCCCGTGCCTATTAATATGCTCTGAATCAGAGAGAAAATAGCTTTTTCCTTTTTTGTAATATGCAAGATGAAAATCAGTTGGTTAGCCTTCTACAACAGCAACTGTAAATATGTACTAAAGGCTTCATGGTTTTCTTTGTCTCCTTCAACATAAAACTTCTTCAACGAGAGATGCAAAAATCTCAGTGCTGAAAAAGGACTTGTTCCATGATGAGATCCTGTGCAGCAGTGTTCCCCCTTGCACATTTCTGTCAGCTTGGACAATCTCATTTTTATCTCTGAAGGGCATCTTCCCTTGGGAACGTGTGTGTGTTTGTTTAGGGAGATAGATCTCATGGGCAAAGATTTCACAGTGTTTTCTATTGATGCAGGGATGAACAAGAGTTCATTTCTTCCTCAGAACTAACTACTCTTCTTTCTATAGTATCCTTCATATGCCTGCAGCCCATTGTCATAGCAAGGCACACTGCACATACTTTTCTGTACACATAAAGCGATTATTCTTGGCAACTAAGCAACTAGTTTTTCTTGCTGTTGCCTTTTTCTGAATCCCCAACAGTCTGCACTGATAGATGTCAGGATAAATGCATCACCTCTTAGAAGAGAACTTTTACATTGGAACTGAAGGAGTCTTGTCTTGACCGTGCTCACTTTTTGGGGGGTTATTG